GTCTGGCGTGGCGATTCGTTTCCATCTTCTCCCAACCCCTTAGGTCAATACTCACCCTTAACAAACTAACCTTGATGTCGTCTTGATCGCGCTACTTTGGTTTGCCTGCACTCCGGCAGCCTGCGCTCAGTTGCCCATACAGCAGTCGCTTCGGGATTCTCGTTGCATCCATACGGCGCACATGTCCAAGCTACCGGAGGTGTCGCAGCAGTAGCATGCAGTCCATGGTGTGCATTTCGCTCCGGCGGATCACATCAGTGTCGGGCACATTGTGGATGGGCAGAATCCGGCGAAGGCACTGTTGATGGAATCTTTCCAGAAACCGGATATCCTTTCTGTAGTGTCCAAGTTTTTGATCTATAGAAAGACGAGAGAACCATGGATTTATACACCATCTCCTTGGTTCTAACAGTGCGATCATGATTCTTCCACACGCGATGTTTCAGTTTCCAAACAGCCGCACTCGCCTTCACTACTCGAGCGCACAGTTCTTCGGTGCTCCGCAAGCCGGTTGACAATGCGCTGCCGAGGTAACAGAATGCTGACGTGTTCTGTAGTACCTCATATGCAATCCGTATTTCTGGCCCGAACATGGGCTCCACTCCCGGTGTCTGTTGAAATAAACATACAGTCTTGCCTGTGTTTATGCTGAGTCTTGGAAGCTAATGCAGTCGTCATGCGTTGCAGTTTTTTCTCGGTATGTACAAGCAACGCACAGTCGTCAGAAAATAGCAGCAGACGGGTGGTTAACTCACGCACTATGTTTCATGCTCTAAAACGACGGAAGTCAAGCAAATCTCCATCGATACGGTGCCCCAGACGCACACCCGTTGAATGCACACATCACAGCAGTCAAAAAGGTATTGGACAATGTGGGGGTTAAGACTCATCCTTGCTTCACGCCAGCAAAGTTATCTGACGTCTGTCCACTCAGCTGCACCCTTTCTCGTATGCCAGTATGCAGGCATCAATCAGACGATTACACTTTTCAGGGCATCCGAACTTTGAGAGCATTATCCACAACGCTTCATGGTTCACCGTATCGAACGCTTTGGTGAGGAAAACGAACAGCGAATACAATGGCCCATAGCGTTCACTACATTTTTCTTCTAGTTGACGTGCTGCGAACACCATGTCGATGGTGCTTCGGCCCGAGCGGAATCCACATCGCTCCTCAGCTACGTTCGGTCCCAGTGTATGTGTCACAAGGCGATTGAGTAAAATGCGCGCAAAAATCTTAACGACACAGCTAAGTTGGTGTCACATATATATATATATATATATATATATATATATATATATATATATATATATATATATATATATATATATATTGAATTGGCGACATCCGCGTTTCAGTTGCCTCCAGGACGCCTGAGCCTACGCAGGGACCGTGGGTGGCTTGCGCTGCACTACACATAGCTCCACACTTAACTCTTCTCTGATGATTCCAAACTACAGGCTATTTCGATGAGATCGCTGCGACATAAAAGGTGGAGTTTGTATTGCATACCTACGCAAAACATTTACAGCTGAACCTATAGACTACTCACAATTGGAATCTATTTGGCTGTCAGTTACGGGTGTCTCATCTTACTGCTCACATGTATCTACAACCCACCGAATGCGTCTAACGTAAGTATCACTAACATCACTTTTGCATTTGACTTCGCATCAGAGTTGCACACAGTCAGAAAACTATTGCCGACGATTTCAACCTACCGAAAATACGCCGGTCATTCCACCCAACGTATATCTTGCACGCCTCTTCTTTCTTCCATCAGAGCTGGGGGCTGGACACAGTGGATTACCAGTCCAACCAGGTCCGCCAATGTACTGGACTTAATATTCATATTGGGGATACCCAATCCACAAACCGAGCTCTTAAACAATCTCCCTCTCAGCGACCCTAACATGATCCGACTCAGTTTCCAAATTAAAATGTTCACTAAACTCGCCTCTACACCGCCAGTTGCAACCCATAAAACAAACTGGGAATGCTTTCAGCAGTTCCTTCGTTTCTCCGACTGGGGTGTATTTATCCTCTATACCAGTGTGTACACCGCTGTGGAGCAGTTCTATAGACAAATCCATCACACTATAGCCCTCCTTGCTCAACAATGTATTCATACCCCTCATGTCTCCAAAGATTCCATCGAGCACTTAGTCAACAAGAAAAGCAGAAAGTTAGCTGCACGATATAGGAGGACCCATGAATTTTCACTTGTCTTACAAAAGCATGAATTTAGCACCCGAGTAAAACACATGCAATTAACACGACGAAGAAAAGAAGAACATACAGCCCTACGGACAAGCTGCAGAGCTAGGGAGCCGGTAAAAATACTGCATCGTCGAGCCAGTGACCGCTCTCCTCTGATTACCGAAATTTTTGATGGTGAGGGTCACTTACTCCATGACCCAGCTGAAATCTGTGAATCATTCAGCCACTATATTTCCACTACCATGAATCACGAAGCTGATCCAGTGCCTGTATGTACAGAGCTCACAGAAACAAACCTCTTATGCAGAGTCCATATCTCGCTCAACGTTATCCACCAAGTTATCAAACCAATTAATCCATCTTCCAAGCTGACATCTGATTGCATTTAACCAACCACCATTAAACTAGGAGGACCTGATATTCCATTGTTCTTGATGAGCATGTTCACTCTATGACTGGAATCTGGCCACTTTCCAGACCAATGGAAAACCTCATTTATTATGCCTCGGCATAAAGGAGGTCCCAAACAAACGATTGATAACTACCGACTAATCCACCACAAGCCGATAATCGCTCGGCTATTTGAAAAGCTGGTCAGAATGGAGATGATGAAATTTGTTGATTCTATTGACCTGATCAACAATTCGCAGCATGGTTTTCACAATAGGCGATCGTGCACCACCTTTCAGCTGCATTGCTTTAATCACATTTCGAAATCAATGGATTCCTGCAATGCAGTAGTAATCTTGTTTCTTGATATACGTCAAGCGTTCTACCGGGTACTGCACAAGCGACTGCTACAAAAGTTGGAGAACTTTGGGATCCGGGACCCATTACTAGGTTGGCTATCATCATACCTGAGTGATCGTCATCTGGTAATCAGTTTAGATGATTATCGCTCTTCCCCACGCTCAATCACCAGTGGAGTCATTCAAGGGTGCGTGATCGGTTCCTTACACTTTTTGCTCTACATCAATGAAATCACCACATCTGTAAAACCTAGTACCTCATTTTTATTTGCTGACGATATCAAACTAGTCTAGTTTAGGCGTGACGAGCTTCACGGGATATTACTTCTCATTCAAGATGATTTACATTCCCTTGAGTCATTGTGCTGCACATGGGTGATGAACCTCTTGGCTAAGAAATCAAGCATCGTGTCTTACGGCTGCTGCAATCTCGAAGGATCTATCATCCTAAAGAAGGAACGCGTCCCTACACAGTTGTCTATGCAGGATCTTGAAATTAGGTGCTCGTCTACCTTGAATTTTTCAGAACAGGCCCAATACCAAGTAGCACGTGCCAGACAGTCTATGTTCAATATATCAAACAAAGCACACACAACTCGTGCGAGAGTTGAGCTTTTCAAGTTACTCACTCGCCCCAACCAAAAATACTGTAGCATAATATACGGAAATATGAGAAAGGGTGACAGAATTGCTGTGGAGCACCTGCAGAGGTCATTTACTAAACGTATGATTGGTGCACACACTGCAATGAGTTATCGAGAACGTTGCAATGAAGTTCATCTCGAACCACTTTGGATTCGGCGATTGAAATGTAACTTGTTGCTGCCTTTCAACGCGCTAGACAAAAAGACCTATTCCAACCTGCCTACACTCAATTTACAACACTGCTCAACTCGAGCGCTTCGCAACAAAGATTTTACACTGAATATACCGAAGGCTAGAATGAACGTTTGCTATAATTTCTTCCGGATCAGACATAGTTATCTGTGAAATGAACTACCAATAACACTCAGGTCATGTGACAATGTGGCAACATTTAGAAGCAGGTTTGCCAATTACCTTGACCTAACTACCCTAAGCTCAATATTCACATGGGAAAACCCCGCAATGAGTTATCTCACGTGGGACCCAAAAACATGCAAACACCAATGTTTTCATAAGTACGCTTTGGCCTCAACCATCCGCCAGGATATTAATACATGAAACGCATATCCCAATACTCCACCTATGCATGTCACCCATGCAAGATCATGGGTTCTTCTGTACAACTTGATCTGTGCCGCTATAGACACAGTTTGTCTCATCAAGAAAAATATACATATTATTATTATTATAAGCATACAGGAAGGGAGCTTGAGGATACTAGCCATTTTTCATCAACGGAGCCATCCCACACTCCTTCAACGTGTACAGCAGCAGCATTCTTGTATATATCTAACTTGGGAACCATGTGTACCAGACAGTAGCTGGGCCGTATGCCGTTCCACACTGGATGCATGGAACCACTCCTTGGGTCTACCATAGCCACGAGGACCGTGCATCCCGCGCCCCCCCCGGCAAGTATGATTCACTGTCTCCTGGATTCAATAATCTAGGTGGGCAGGTAGACGTCATGTCAACATTCAAATCGAGCGCAACCACACCGGGGATATTAAACAACCAACATAGCATTTGATGGGAAATATCCACGCAAAATAAACGCGGAGTATGCGAGAGAATAAGAAAACTGAGCAAATCAAATAACGTGGCCTACTTTGTATCCATATTAGAGAGATCTAGTTAGTGTTACTCGGGGTAACCCAACTGTCTAGACCTCTGGACGGTTAGCATCAAACTCAGCATCGCTTACCACCCGCAACGCCATACACACATATATTATTTTGTGCTCATAAATGGTTCTCGGACAACATTTTCTTAAACCACCAGTTTCTTTATCAATTACCTGTCCAGTTCCGGTCCTGTCTTTTTGATTCTGGTTGGTTTTCCGTTATATACTACTAAATAGCTTCTAGTAACTAAACTTTTTCTAGATCGTCGCATCCGATTCTGCCGGCCACTGGAACTCAAGCGCCGTGATTGTAACTGTGATAGATGTGAACGATAATCCTCCTCATTGGCCTTTGAAAGAAACATCGGATGACTCACTGGAGGATATAATATTTTCTGATGTTCTGCGTCGTCAGATTCTTCAGGCTAACATATCCATAGCTGAAAATTGGTTTTTGGAATCGAACTCGTCCATCTACCAGTTATATATCGTCGATCCAGATGTGGATGTGCCATCCACGCCCACTTTCTCTCTATTTCCCGAATCGAGCAACTCCTTTTTTTCTGTCTCTCGTTCTGGCGCCGTCCATCTTAGACGTCCTCTTGATCATGAATTGGTGTCCAGCTATGCATTGAAATTTCAAGCGTCAGACGGATTGTACGTCACGAAAGATTCCTTCGTCCTGCACATAGACGTTCTCGATGCGAATGACAATGCGCCGGTTTGTATGGAGGTAGGTGTTATCATCTGCTTTTAGCCGTTATTACATCCAATTAATATTATTTTCATATACTTCTTCGATCCTTCTTCCTGCATCGTGTTAGTTTGGCAATCAGCTTTGGTGCTCCTCGCACGCTGGTTTATCACACCGCTTAGTTACTCCCTTTCTTATTACCTTATTTCCAGTGGTGCGGACGCGTTTCCCAATTGGTATTAATCGTCAGTGCATTTTGCCTATACGTTATCACTGGTACTAAGGTAATACCAAGCTTTCGCAGGCTTTTACTACTAACCCTGTTTCTCCGCCTGTCCCATTCAGGGCTACATTAATAGTCTCAGTTTAATAGCCAGGCTTGTCTGCAAACTAAAGTGCATTCAGCGTCTTACATTGGACATGCTTGCGAGTGTTTTAGGGCTGCATGAAAACCAGATTACATCGTACATACCAAACTACCAAAAACAATTACCATCACAATGATGTAGTTACGCCGCAGTTCGCTTCGGCTTTGTATTATTTTCGTCTTTCGGCTGTTTTGTGCTTATTTCATATAAAACTCATCACAGTTCACCCGCAGTCAGCTAGTTTCCCACTCATTCCGTTTCCACCCTAACTGCAAATGAAAGCAGCCACTCTGTTGAGGAACTCGTCTTGTTGCCTTATTTAAGTTAATTCTTGCGCGTATTGCACATACCCGCTATATATATATATATATATATATATATATATATATATATATATATATATATATATATATACAACTCACGACAATCTGCCGCCGTCACCCATGGCCTAAGGACTTAAGCCGCTGAGATGCCTTGGGATTTATTCCGGCTGTTTAGGAGACTTTGAGTTAACTACGATACTTCATCCATAATAAATATATCAGAAAACTTTCCCACTCCATTTCAAGATACCAAACTCCCATATACCTTTGTATTCCTTACCTCTTTGCCCTCAGAATGTCTTGCGGAAATGTGCACTTGAATATGACGTTGACTGCGTCATATTCGGCGTCACTACAGTTGACTATAACACTTTGATATATGAACCTCCTCATGTACCTTATTTCTCTGTTGCTTATATACTGGACTGGTAACTGAGTGATTAAGTCGTCTGGTTGATCATCGGTTTGAGCTTTCACAGGCGCGAGTGATCTCGCAGCATCTCAACCCCCGTACAGTCTGTGTTGGTTATATGACAGTGGAGCATCACTACAAAGTCCCGTTGTATTACTTATACCTTTTTCCGCACTTCTCACTCCTTTAGGGACAAGTGATTTATATGACAATGTAATCCTCGCAAAAGTGGCAGCATAACTGGCCTGTAGACAGCCTCGATGTGTATAACTAGGCCGCTTCCATATCCAACAACGTTTCTGCACTCATGGGCTTCGTCCGTTGTTTCGTTCAAACAAACCCCCTCAGCACAGTCAAGTAGTAACAAATCAGCGTAGGAGAGGTGACACATTGACTTCCAACCATCTGCTCCGTTTGTTTACGGCAATCTAATCGCTTACTTCACCACGCAAACCCCTCTCGCCTCTCTGTTTACGCATTCTTATCACACCTTTATACTTTCTTTAACTTCAAACTCCATTCGCAATCACTACAATCGTCCTCACTATTTTTCTCATATATCACAGTTAACCTTTTTTATATGTATGTTTTACTCGCGTACCTTATGGTCATACAAAAGTCCATTCCACGCACATTCTTCCTATTCGCTACTACGTACTTTACGAAAGCGTACTTTTACCTTTGTCTAGTCTGATTTTCCATGCTGACTACACCTCCTCTTATGTCCCTTAGCCCGAGCGTGATCTGACCCTTCCTGAAGACACTCCTCAAGGAACTATCGTTACTCGAGTGGTAGCTATCGATGCGGATGGTGATCAGGGTAATTCAAACCTTGTTTTCAAAATGGCTTCTGGGACTGATGACCTTTTCGCAGTGGATCCATCCACTGGAGTTGTTCGTTTACAAGGCTCCTTGGACTTCGAAACAAAGCGCTCGCACGAATTTTCCATTAGAGTCGAGGATGATGGACAGTTTAACTGTTTGTTCCTCGTCCGTTTGCTTGTGCTTGATGTCAACGACAACCCACCCAAGCTCGACCCCATATTTATCAACCCTGTGCCAGAGGACGTCCCAGTTGGAAGTTTGATAGGAAAAATTACCGCTCGTGACCTTGATTTTGGTACGTTCAGCTGAATGACTGACTTATTTTCTTTATCTGTTTAACAATACCTATCGCGCGGTTCTCTTATAGCTTCCGGAAGTCACGAAATCAGTTGTCATTCCTCCCGAACGTTATTTTACATAGGCTTTCCATTTATATCATTGCCAGCCCATGTCACTAAGATACTTGTTTGCCGATCGCTTGTTCATTCCTAGTTACATTTCAACGTAATTGGTGTACATTTTTGGCGTCTGATGTTTGCCAACACACCCTTTGTAAATCTCAAGTGCTTTCGATGACTTGGACTATCATTCGTCCAGCGTTGTCTACATTGCTGAATGGTGAGTCGATGATACTGTAGTCCAGAATAATGAAGTTAATCGGAAGTTCTAGTGAACCTCGTGCAGTCGCGGAGTCCGCCTCACCATAATTTGTAATCTTACCGAATAAAATACATTCTAAATGTCCACGACTTGGCCTCTTACTTTTGACTCATCCATTCTATTCATCAAATCACTTGGTTTGTTGCATTTTTGTTGTGCCGGCATTTTATTTCTTATCCTCTCCCATCCATACTCAAAATAAATGAATCCAGTGTACTTCTGTGCTCAAGTCGTAACCGTTTCACTTCACTCATCATTGTATGCATTGTATGCAACACACACTTTTTCCCACCTTCATATCATGATTACCGTTTTGGAGTAGTTCACTCTTCGTCCTTTTCCGATTCATACAGTTTCACCTATAATCATTTGCCCATCATTTTTCCATCATCTTCCCAAGCACTCAGTTGTCCTCAATCAATCGTTTAACTTCTTATTCACACTGCTTCTTACCAAATCAATTAAGAGCGGAAACCAATTTTGCCTTTCGCGCCGCTTAGGCTCATTTATCCTCATTTCCCTTACCATCAGTGCTTTGTCACAAACATTAATCATTATTCTGTTTGCGCGTTGTCCAACTCTCCACTGATCCTCCGGTTCTTGCTCCTTTGGACGATTTTTCTACTTTACTGTGAAGTACATGTGGCAGCCAAGTTTCTTGTGTCCTTTCCGGTTTCCACTTGCCACTGACCTAGTCTTCCAATTTTCTTATTTCAGGAAAATCGTTTGATGCAGTGCGCTTTTGTTTCTCACCATTTTAGTCCTGTGTTTTCTCTCCACATTGGGTTATTTGGCTCTGCTGTCATCTTTTTCGTCTTACGTTCCTCCGTTTGCTTCAATGTACTCATTAAAATTCTTCCACATCGCATACCTTTGACTCAGTGAGATTCTTAACAATCTGCTCTCAAAAATGTTGAACAAACTTGCTAGTTCAGTGCAATAAATTCAATTACTCAACCTTCAACCACGAATACTGTATTATAGAGCAGTTAGAAATAAATTCTGTACTCTCTTACGAAATATGGTGAAAAACCTTATAAAAATCATCGGCCGTGAATATCGTTGTCGTTCTCATGTAACATTTAAAATGTTTGACTCACGGTATTGCAGCACTCACAAATGTGACATGTCATCGTAAGTGTGCAATCCTTCTCTGAATTGATTAGTGGTAAGATATAAATCTAACAACCTTTTGAACTGCTGCACAGATGTTGCCTCCATCACATGTTCAGGGAAACTGTTCCAAATATTTACCACTCTCCGTTCGAAGCACAGTGGGTGGAGAACACATTTCACACCCGGCACGACAAGTTTGTATCTGTGTCCGCGTGTGCTGCATGGCCCTCGTAAGTGCATCATTGGCCTCAGCATGGGGAAGTCACCGAGCTGTAGCATACCGTAGGTAATAATGAGGTCGGCTCGCACCGACGGTAGAACAAGGTGTAGACTCCTAGTTTCTCGCCCCGGTCTTCATGCCCCTAGCCACGTAAACTCGGGATGAGCCTGGCAGCAACGTGTTGGACCCGTTCGATCTTTTGTGCCTCGCCTCGGGTAATCCGAAAGTAGGCGGGCGAACCGTACTCTAGCATTGGTCTAATGATAGAAGAGAACAGGCGAGTGGCAACCTCTTCAGACCATTGCCGAAGCTACGTTTGAGCGCCCAAATCATGCGCAGTCCGTTCCGATATAGCCTGTTCGTGTTGTCCACGGACTTCAAATCGTAGCGCCAAGTGTACACCTAGGTCTTTCACAGAGGGTGTAGGATATAGCGGTTAGCCGTCAAGGTTGTAGCTTCGGTCGTCAGCACCCTTCCCCAGGCTCATAAATATAGACTTGGCTGGGTTGACCGGGAAACGAATTGCTGCAGACCATGTGGATAGGCGGTTGAGGTCTTGCTGAAGTAGGCCCCAGTCGTCGGGAGCGTCAATTTCTCTCTAAATCTTCATGTCGTCCGCAAACAAGGCACACAGCGACCGGAGAAGTTGAGGTAGATCGTTTATGTGGATCAGGAACAGAGTGGGCCCCAGCACAGTGCCTTGAGACACGCTACTTGTAGAGGAATACCAGTCAGTTAAATGGTCGTCGACCTGTACCCTCCACTTTCTGAACGATGGATCCAATTACTCTGAGTGACATTTTTATCACACTAGTTATGTCATAATGATGAGGAGCCAATTATAGTAAGATCGATCACTACAGTGGGGTGAACATAATTTACAACCATCAGGTGGAATAGTGAAGAGCTCGAAATGTTAGAATGAATTCAACCTTCAAATTTACCACCTCGAGGTTCTACTCAACTAGGCAAGCAACACACACACATTGAAGCAGCCGGTCGACGGTTGCACGCGGTACATGATACAACCACGGTATTTGGTTCCTGTCCAACCGACGCGCACGGCGCCACACCCTGCAGTGCAGCGCTGCGCCTTCTTTTGCACTCTCATCGACTTGATCACGCTTGTTACAAGCCTGTTGACCGCCTTCCTCATTGCATGCGGTTCGCAGACAATGCATTCAGTAAAATGAATTTTCAGCTTTCCCGCCACTGATGTGACAACGTACCGCATGAAGTAGTTGTTCTGGGGATTAAACTGTGCTGTTGCTCGCCTTGTCTGATGAATGGATTTCAGGCCGCGTAACTTGAAAACTCTTACGAAGTCATTATCAGCTATGTGGACTGATGCTTCGCTGCCGTACAACCACAGTGACCTACGGAACGAAGAACAATAAGAGGGAGAGAAGGGAACCTATCATAAAATCTTAATGCCCTAATCAAACCTTCATCGTCAGAGTACCGACACCTTGTCAACAACATACCGTCACAATAAGCTGACTATCGTGCAAAGGAGGCATTGGCGGGACAGCTTCCTTTCGACTTTCACTGCCCCGCTTCATAATCAGACATTAGCCACAGATAACCCAGCATCAAACACAGTTTAAACAGGCAGTTCGACTACGAGAAGAAAGCGGACGCGACACGAATGCAGACTGCATGCCACCTACCATGATGTCGCGAACGACACACAAGGTGGATCACGCGTATTCGAGCTTGGAAGGCGAGACGAACGGACGGCACTCAGTTTGGTCGTCAGTGATTTCATTTCTCGCTGCTAACTTAGCTTTTGTCCAGTTCTAGCCTTGCGCCACCCTACATCTAGCAAAGAAAACAAGGCCCTCCTCAGTAAACGTTGACCAAACATACGTAGTACATGTCCATAACAATGCAACTTATTTTCTACTATCTGTTGCTCTATGTAACTGGTCTGATTATCAGTGCGTAGCACTCTCTTACACACATCATCGTTGCGGACACACTGGTTCATTGGTACTCACACTGTTCGAAGACGGTAGCGAGGATGCACATGTCTAGGTGATTGCTTCGACCGGATGTGAAACGTGACTTGTCACAGCTATGCAGACTGTAGGAAATCACTGCATTCACCCAAAAATAGACGACCTTGACGTATTAAATCTCCCTTCTTTGTGTTAAAGTTGGATATACACTAACGCCATTATAATTATTGTAGTGATTGTTTCTATTAGTATGCTCATTTCTGTTACATAACCAACGTCTGTTATCCAGCTCGAGGCTACAATGGTTGACTGTTACTCAGGCCTCTGTTACCGTATGCAACTATTGGTCAAACGAAATACACCCAACGGACATCAGGATTAATTTCATAGCTCCAAATCAATTTATGCACGTTGGTATTGACATCACATGGTTCTTTGCTTAACCGAAATAATGTGTCTTCACTGAAAAATGGGCCGTAGATTTTTGCGAACCACACCCCTTCGTGTCTAGCGTTAACTCTTCGGACCCTGAAGTTCTTCGCTGTGCACGTTTTCTCACATTTGTAACAAGCCGGTGATTTGATTTACTTTACAATCGAAGATTATTGTTCCTTTACGATTTTTTAGCTGGATTTCCTCATGATCGCCCAACCCACAAATTCGCCTTGTATGACAATTCCTTCAAATCCGTTCTTTCTCTATTAAATTTTTATCTTCCCTTGGCACTAATGATAGCCATCTCTTCTCCATTGGCCCTTACATTCAACCTACAATTCTCAACCTAACCTGATCTCCTCCTACAATTCGACTGAGATCCTACTTCTATCTGAAACTTCCTTCAAACTGGCTCGGCTGTTGGCTTGATCCATCGTTCATTCACCTTCATTTGCCTTTCAACTATATTCATGGTGTGACCCACATTCCGCTAATTTTCTCCACCATCATTGACGTTCGGTAGCTCGGGTTATTCATTGGCAAAGGGGCACGTCATGATTCAAAGTTGGATTTGCAGAACGTCAGGACATCCAACACATTCTTCAGTCGCGACAGTATGAAGTCTGCTTGCAGAAGTTATTCCCTCACCTTAAAGTCATCCTAACCCTCTTTACCACTCCACATTGTGCGAGTTGTTGGCCATCTCTTTCTAACGCAAATAAGGGTCAATATTCTTTTCTCCTTATCATATTTCCTATCCGATCCATTCTTGAATTTTAAAACTTTCTCGTCTTTAGATTATAGTTATCCTTTCGGTTCTAGTTGCTATATGCGCTTTTGAATCTGTAAACCTTTCTGTCCTGTCTTTCGTGGCCATCACAGGTCTCTCACGGAACTCCTCATGGCCCTAGATGGTTCACACCTGTGACCTATTGTCTAATCGCCTGGTTGTTTTTATCATATGCGGTGTTTACAATTGGTTTTTCATCTGCCCTGCATTTACCATCACTGCGATCCTCATTCGCACGCGGTGCTACCACGCTCTTCATTTAAGTGTTGCAGTTGTAGCCTGTCGGCAGTAATGAATACACGCGTGTACTGCTCGTTCTATTGGTCGACGTATCCCATTGGTCGACAATCGCACAGCACAGTGAAATGATTTGTGAATTTTTTGCTCTACTCTCAGCACTGCTTCTCCGTTTATTTCACCTTCACTCAGAACACATTTCATCTTCTATACGTTCCTCCCACAGTTGACACCGGGCGTCTGTATTACAGTCTCCGTTCCTCTCATGAAGCTAGCTTTAGCATCGAGCCGCACACCGGATTGCTTAAAGTCAGTCGTAGTTTGGATCGTGAGACGACCGACATTCATAAACTCACCGTTGTAGTTACTGATGGTTTCCGCTCACCTGCTGTCACCAATCCATCTTCTCAATTCACGTCGACCGCTTCGTTTACTGTGCGCCTCTTGGATGTCAACGATTCACCCCCACAATTTGTGAACACTTCCTCGCATAAAATACGAGTTTCGGAACTGGCGCCCGTGGGCCTTCATCTACTTCGCATTGAGGCAGTCAGTTTGGACGAGGGTATGAACGCCGTGATTCGTTACAAACTGCTGACAAACCAACCAGAATTCTCACTAAATGAAACCACAGGTCAGTTTCTTACGTGCATTAGCATCTGACCCTCTGTGCTATTTCATGACATTTTCTAGGAGTGCACCATTTCCTTGCTGCGCACGTGACTCTATAGCTAGCACACGCAACACCTTTGATCTACAATTAGGATGATATTCAACTTTGGATGTTTTGCTTTCCTGTCGTATGCAACCTTTACTTCTGGTCGTCAGCTTCATTAGCCCTTCGGTTCTCGTTGGCATTCAAACTTCACTTGTTTACACGTCGTGGCCCAGTGTGCGCTTTTCTTTTTCGAACATATTCAATATTTTCTTATAGATTCGCAGTCTCTTGAGTTCCATATGTCAGGATGTGATTATCAAGCGATTAATGCCACGGCTAGTCGATTATCTTCCCATCTTTTAAACAAAGCGCTGGCATCTGATGACCTACTTGACAGGCATTATCATCATGGTCGTTTTCAAACTTTCATCATCCACCTTGCCCTGCTGACTACTATCAACCTGTGAGTAGGAGTTTGCTGTGTTTCATCTCTAACGAAAGTGTGATTTCTAAATGCTCCTTCTCCGTCAGGTCCCTGAAAATTGCCTATTCTATCTGAGATATGCAACTGTTACCTTTTCAGATCTCCTCGCTACAATTCACTCTGACACTAGACTTGCTCCATTGGATTGTTTGTTAACAAGTTAAGTCCGCAACCAACTGTATCACCATCCTTGATGCGCCGCCCCCATATTACATGTAGGAGAAGGGTTTATGATAAACTTCGTTGTCGTTCGTGTGACACATCGTCGTGTCCCGTATCTCTGTTTCGGTTCTAGTCTACCATTGAAAACGTCTTGTTATAAACCACACAAGGGCTTGAAGGTCTGGGCGTAGAGTTTCTTTCACACACTGCTAATAATATGGGATCGCCAGGTAGCAACCCTCAGACTATGGTATTCATTCTGGACCGCTTTTCACTAGCCACCTCTACGTGCAGTGTGTTCTCGAATCTCGTGGTATCGCCCCACAATCGGTGGTTGCCTTCTCCAAAGAGTATTCTTTGAATACACAGTCTGCACTAGTAAGCAGCTTCGTCCAACTAAGGAGCTGTGTTTCTCCCGAGGACGCTGACGGAACGGATGCATCCCGTCATGTCGCCATCGTTTGTTTGGTTAGTTCCTTTGTGATGTCTTTGCGACACGTTCCTCTTGTCCATGAGCCTCAATTGCAGTGCCGCTTTTTCTGCGGCATTATTATGGGGATACCATGACTGGCAGTTTCGCGTGGGATTTCGTGCTCGCTCATCAGCGTCCGATAATAGTCTGTGGAGCAACATCTGTTGATTAGATGTGTTCGACACTCTACTCTCATCATCATTATCATCGTTATCTACTTCAGCTAAAGGTGGAAAACACCTTAGCTACTGTGCTACAATACGTAAAAGAGGAAAAAAATTGGAAAAAATGCAACAGTGTAGCGGGTGTGACCGGCTCACACTAACAGACTATTGGGGAGTACCGTACCCAGTGATGAAAGAGAAAACACAAAAGTGACTGGACAGAAGTGTGTTGTGGTACACGCTGTTCCCGTGTATTATCTAAAAATACGATACCGAGCGACGCAGCTAGCTAAGGAAGGATGTGACGGACCGCGCAATGTCGTGGTGTATTGAATCCAACCGTGGCGCCTTTTTGTATGTCGCCTGTGTGGTTGGGTCAGACAAACAAATGCAACATACATATCAGCATTCTGCAAACAACCTCTAGATGTACAATAAGAAACTAGTTTTATTTAATATTTTACACAACATACTCAGGCAATCCGGGGAATCTCCAGATTACTAAAACGCTTACATACCAGCTGAGCAACCAGTAACGGATGGCGATCGTTCCGTAAAGCTACCAGCCGGCTACTAGGGAACAAAAAATTATTATGTAAAATTCTAATATGCTAAGAAATGAGATCGTGGTTGGAGAGGGAGACTGCGAGGGATTGGGGGGGGGGGACAGATAAACTCTCAACACGAACGCCATTGAAGTCGGCTTCTAGCCATGTCAACAAATGTATCCAGCCAAACGTGTTAATCTTACAGGCTAATCTACCCCTCACGAAACGTTTCCCGTTACACTCATTAGGATAGTTGGCTCTCGTTTTACATGTCATGCGGGTTTTTGAGTGGTTTATTCTTTAGACATGTTGTTCGGTTCTGATCAGGGTAGATACGGGCGTCTTCATAGCATTCTAGCCCTTGTGGTTGTGTGGCCGCGAAACGTCGGTCTTGCCTAATGCTGATACTTCTCTAATTTCCAACTCTCCGACTGCTAATCTTTATACTTTCCAGATCTCATGAACATTTGTCTGTTTCAGTTTTATTTCTTGAATTCGAACAGATGGCTATGTGATGTTGCAATTTGTCCTGGATCTCATTCGCCTGGCACCCGACAGCATTCAAGTAGACACGCATCACTTTCCATCGGGCTCAGTTGGAAACGAATTTCCATCTCACGCTTTCACTAGTGGATGGCTAGTTACACATTTTGCTCACGATGTGCTGGCACATGCGTTAGCACATGCGTTAGACGATTTGCTATGCTCATAACTGCGCATGAAGTGCGATAAATCGAGTGACCAAGTCTAGTATCCCAACGATGATCAAAATTAGGCAACAAAACGAACATGGTAGATAACTACTGGGATAATAACTAAATACTAACGACATATTGGGGCCAAAAATGGAACGTATACAAACATACAATCCTATTTTAAAGGTTTTATTTTATGGGCTCATATGGACGAATGACACATTTCTCTGTTAACTTGTTTTTCGCCTGCTTTTCTCACTGCTTTTTGTTAGTTAGCCGCAGTTGCAAATCGATTCAGATTGTTCGTAAGTATCACTAGAGCATGGACCTCTCGGTGCGACTGATACAGACGCCTCAGCCGAGTCAATCAGATATCAACTGAGCGGTTGTTATCATGACTTTCAGCAGTTCTGGTTTCTGGACCCCGTCAGTTGTTATTGTTGAGAACGGAATTCATTTCCTCGTTTACATTTTGGATTCGGGTCAGTTGCAACATATTATATGACCATCTGCATGTTTGGTATTCTACTGTTAGCCATAACTGCATGGGATCAGGATAGCGATAATTGCGCTACACCTGGTCGCTATGCTTTGCATCTTCTTAGACATGAATAACTGCAACGCTGTTCCATGGTATTCAGGTTAAATCAAATGGCTTAACCACGCCACTTATTAGAGTGGATTTCTATGCTTACTTTCCAATCCCATCTTTTCTGCTTCTCTCGATTCGGGTAATATGTTTTACCGCTTGTATTTTTGTGCTGTCCCCATTGTATTCGCTCACTTCATCGTCCCTTTTGTTTGTTTTTATTTCCTGGTCTGCACCATTAAGCACCTACCTGCGCATGTGCGAAATCACCTTCTCCTCTTCCTTTAGAGCACTTTTACTTCACCCAATGCATTGTTTCAGTCACCCTGAAACAACCAGTTGGCGAGTGATTAGTCGCTTGTGTCCGCAACCGCGGCTGTTAACCAGTTCACATTTTGGCGGCGGGGGGGGGGGGAACTTATCCCCGCCTGTTGTAATTGCTCCCATTAATTTTACTCGCCGTACTTGCGCAGTGGTAATTAATGAGGTGAGATAGGGTTGTTACCCCGATTACTTGCCACTCGTATACCTTTTTGACTACTCGGAGCAAATTTGTCTGTATTATTTAAACCACTCATGGGGTTGAACATTGTATTCTCATTGTATCCATTATATTTCTCTATGTCTATTTACGGCGTGACGCGGTGCAGCTTTTCTCGGCTCTTTTTTTGTCTTTTGTAACCGGAACTACGAGGGCATTACTGACCTCAAATGTCCTCTACTGCACCCTGATCTTTGTCGTGTTTCCCATCTGAAAGGAGACGCATACCGGTCAGTATACAAACTTCAGTAATCTGTTACCGCTTAACTACAAGCGAAACCTAGTGCACTGTCTCACCTCAAAGGCAAGAAAGATATGCTCAGTGAACGCTCCGATGGATGGGATGAAATCCACCCTGAATACGTTGCGCGAAAATAGTCATCCGAAAAGATTTACTCGACACAATATGCTGCTCAAAATGACATCAAAAGTTGAGCAAGTGATCGAAAGTAAACTGTCTTCATCCGCTTTGACTTTAAAGCTCATACAGCTGCTGACGTCATACCAACAAAATGGACACAATTGATAGGGAGCACTTTCGGCTATGGAATCGCGATGTATCTTCGCCACAAATCAGCTAATTCTTGTGTGCAACCAAGACAGACTGCCGAAGTTGACTTCTCACATAATTTATTTATTTGAGTGCACCTGTGTGCAACACATATAGTTCGAACGCCTCGTCATTTGTCGCGTCATATTAAGAAACATTGCTCTAAATGGTTGGCGAGGAGAGACGCTGGAGCTAACCTCTCAAATGCGTTTACTGTCGCTTACCAGGTCCCAAACCGAAATGTCTACCTTTAAGAATGCTCGCCACAGCGGAAGCTATTGTGGTCCGGATTTTCCGATCCCCTTTATGTTCAGACAAAAGAGTTTGTTCAAACGCTCTGTCTACCCTAACGCAACAACCATCAAGCTAACAGTCACTGTAACATCGGTTCCGTCAGTCTGATTACGTAACGAGGCGGCGACTACCTGTTTCTAACCACATGGTCTACGTCTGAACCAATCATTCTCCACATCTTTGTATTTTGACCCTGTATACTTTGTGTCGGCAAAAAGACGAATCATTGTAGCCATTTTTCTTGTCATTATTATTGTTGTTAAATTTCTCGCTTATGAACTAAGATTTTCCTCAACTAGGGATTGATCAATAGTACAGTAATGATCATGCTCATGCACGAGTGAGATATACCTACTGTCACCAATACATTCCGAAATACATGGCTTTTGTTGGTTCTGAGTTTTGTGTAACCTCTAACTGGCTATATCCATCCATGCATCCATCTTTGAAGAACTCATTTCGTTATTTGTCCGATGAAAAGATGGTTATTATCGAATACTGGACCAGGAAATTCCCAAGTTTAGTGCGCAATATTCTTTGCCTTTGCACAAAACCTGATAGGCTTTTCCGCACAACAGTTTGTCTAACAAAGAAGTTGTACCGAATAGCTATCCTTGTTTTTGGCATAATTAGTTTATCAATCTTGTTGCGAAGCGTCGGAGGGAAGTTCTGCTTTGATTCCAATGTGCACAGCTTGTCTTCTAAGATTGTGTATGAGCATCGAGTTGTTTCAGTCGTCACAACCGAAGAGGCTCGACGTTCGGCTGCTGGCAACGCTTTTGCATCATCTTTGCAGGTTTTCCAGAACTTTTATGTCACCACTACGCAGGTTCCCATTAATAATGGACTGTATGGATTTTCCGACATATGTTAGCCATAGATCGTTTGGTGCTTTGCTGCTGATTACTACATTGTGGGGACAGGTAGGAATTTCAATATGTACAACTTTTTTGAAATATGATCAAAGCGTTAAAAAGTAAACTATCTACGCCTTATCAGTACCTCGATCGTTTTTCATTTTCTTGCGTGATTTCAAAAGAAGTGTGTATCTCACATTACGTTGGGACTCACAAACGTGAGATGTCAGTGGGTGATCGTTCTCTGGTGACGCTTGAACGACCTGGCGTTGGGAGATCCTTTGATCGAAATCGCTGTAGCAAACTCTTCTTCACTGTCTTCTCGGCAACCTTAGCCGAAATATATGTCAAACAAATTGGACTAGTTTCCTACCATGCTAGGGCCTTTCGGAGTAGGCCTGACTAACGAGCGTTTCCGATCTATCGCAACGTACCTACGGACAGCGACCTATTGAACAGATCACTTACGGCTGGCAAGATGATGACCGATGACTTGAGAATCACGGGGTGGAGCCCAGCATGCTTGGTGCCATCAAGGTTGGTTATGAGTTGACTCACCTATTCTACACCACAATGCAGACTTTCGAGTTTGGTAAAGACGGTGTACACCAAATTTGATAGAGATACCTGGTCTTTTGCAATCACCAAAGCAAAGTGTGCCGCCATGACGGACGCACGCTCAGTGCTGGGGGTTAGGTGCTGTCCATCTGCTGAGACTGAGAGACTGAGACTGTATTTAAGAGCAAGTAGAAAGGTTTCTGTACAACTCTATCGAATTACGAAAAATCAAAATTTACTTGTGAATTATCAGCAGTTGTGTCTGGTCCGTTAATCATTTATCCGTGTTCGGTTAAAAATTTGTACTAGCGTTCTCTATCCCTGGTAGATCACCTTACGGCTTTGTGCGTCGCATCACGTACGCGAAGATTCTCTTCGGAGTGATGTTTGTTGCAGTGGCAAGCATTTCTTCAAAATACCTGCGCTTGCTTGTATTCATACTTTTGCAATATTTCACTGCTTTTATGCACCTCATACTTGTCCTACAGCCCACGCCGTCGCCGAGCCAGCTTATCGTAATTCTTCTCGAAGCAATGTGCCTTGGCCGAATTAAGAGAAGCACAAACCGGTTACGCAATTAGTTGACTTCATTCTTTATAACTGACCAGCAAGTTTCAACAGATGCGGATTACAGCAAAGATCAATCCACTTGGCTCGCTGCTCGAGTCAGGCCGTCGAAACCCTTCTTCCTGTAGTTGTAATCGGGCTGCATACGTGGAATTGCTGCAGCGGCAGTTCCATGTTGGCATTAAGAACTGAATGGTAACTTGCCGCTAGAGTCTCTAGGATCTGAATGTCATACACATGTTGTTCACTGCTGGTTAACATTAAGTGTAATCGCGTTGTAGCTGAGCGTGGTGTTATGCGCGTCGATTGGTAGATGTGTTGTGCTGCCCCAGTTTAAAGCACCATTTCAGCGACTTTACATCGCCATCACAATATCTGGAGATAAGATGAACTTTAGGCCAACGTATTCGAGTAGACTTGAAATCGCGTATATGTAAAAGAAGGGGTCGCCTGATGTGGTCCCGAAGATGCGGTATGCAATCCAAACAGTGGCTCTGGGGACTACGATAAAATGCACCTATGAGTAGTTGTCCGGACCTGAGATGGATGAAGCACCACAACTGCTCACATTGGTCATCTTCGCTTCTATGGCGCTCACAAGTCTCCCACCCAGAGAAAACCAGATGTAAAGCAATACGCTCCTGTGAGCATTCGTTAGCTTATCACAGCGGAAGCACAATTTGCCTCTATGCTCAACTTCCTGTGTGATACATTATCGTTCAACCACGTTACTGATATGTTATGTGTGATTACAACTCCATGATTACTCGTCTGTCTTGGTTATCCAAGTCATTCCCTTAGTGTTCTAGATTTCATTTTTGCTTTTTTCCTTTCTACATATGAACATGTGCGCGTCCTTTGGAATGTGCTTCCCCTCCCAGTCGTTTCCTTTATTTCTTTTACCCTTTCAACACGTCGTTCATGCCCCGTCGCTCGCCATTCCTCATTGGTCGGCAGATCTTTCACCGAATGCTCTGTTCGTACTTCACTTTTCCTCTCATCTACTCTCGCTCATCTATGTTTGCATGCCGCAGAGCAGGCATCGTAATCCGGAGTGGTGAACAACTTCATCGTTTATAGCATTCCCTTAAAACTACTGCACACATATGTTTAACTCGAGTTTTTACAACGCATTTTCATGTACCTTCTACACACCTGAACACCATTTGGTAACCACTAGTGTCCCGTCATCATCCTCCGGGCAGAGTATCCGATATCGAAACAAATCAACGAATCTTCAACGGCGCTGTTCTCCTCTTCCCTGCTTCGCTCAATTCATTGTTCCATTTTTTTTCAAATCAAACGTTTAGCGGGTCATTTTGACACTTCGGCGCATCAGTGCGACTGTCTCGCAGTCCAGCCCCAACTTCAGTTACTCGGCTGTCCAGAATGTAGCACGGCGCAACCGTTGTCACGATTTCACCTGGGTCATCTCATTGCTAAGTTCGTTCACTCACTTTCAACGCTAGGAATGCAACATTTGCATACTTCATATAACTAGAGTAGCCATCGCCTATCTCAAAGCAGGCATTTTTATTTATTTATCTGTCGATGATGATTTACCATAGTTCATGCGAACACTATACGCACGGAGTCTTTTATCTGTAACACATCGATTGGATTCATCAGGATAGTTCCATTATTATTTTACCTTGGGACTACGCCAGTATTCGATTTAGGTTCTCATCTATTTCTTCCAACTACCACATTATCATGTTGCCGAACCAAATCGCATTGTTTCTCATTCTAGGTCTCCTGTACTTCTAAGTATACATTGTCTGTTTTGCATATATATATATATATATATATATATATATATATATATATATATATATATATAGCTCCTACAGGGCCTCAGCTCAACTTTCCTCCTCAACATTTTCCACTGCTCTTCATGTGAACGTTGTGTGTTTTTTGTACTTCGGGCCGTTTCGTCGAGCCGTTCGGTTTCAGTTATTCACTGCAATATTTGGTTTTCCTTGTTGGATTTTCCCAACCAACCCTTTACAAAATATATTCTCTCCCCCTCTGTTCCACTCTTAGCTTCGTTTGATTTTCATTTAATAATTTGCCCCCATTCTTACTTTTATATGTAGATTGTTTTCTGCAGTGTTCATTGGTGCGTAATTGGCTGCCACTTCGTGCATATTGACATTCCACTTGGTTGCCCAGCCCCTGGCGCGTCCTTTTTTCCACTTCTAACGCACCAGTCGGCGCATCCGCGTCTCTTTGATCAATTCACGATATCATTTGGTCACATGGCTATCTATTGTTTCACATTCTCTGCCTTTGAACTATGGACTTTCATACGGGACTGATGTACTGTGTGACTCGTAGTGTTCCGCTCACTCCGTTAATGGTTGGTTGGTACACACTTGAGACCCCTTCGGTATACCGTATTTCTTCCGCCTTCTATCTATCCGCTGGTTGTACTTCCCAATCAAGCATGATTCCGATGTATTCACGCGCGCTGCCTCTCACATTTGTTTGATGAAATTCCATAGGAGATCTACTGCTGGTGTCTGCGCTAGATCACGAACACATTCCGTCCTACTTTCTCACTGTGGAAGCGCGCGATCAGGGATCTCCTCCACTCAGCACGACAGCGGTCATTGTGGTTAAGGTGGTTGACGAAAACGACAATAGGCCCCAGTTTGTGGGCCAACAACCCGTTCCCACTGATCTACTGGCGGAGGATTTTACTGACTCTGAAATCCCAAACGAGCTAATTCCGCTTCTGCGGCATTATTATTCGTTTAATGTCGTCGAAAACAGTCGCACCGGGACAATTGTGGGAAAAGTGAGTCTCAGTGGCTATGTTATTCAAGCACCTTGTCGCCCCAGTGCTTCCTTAGTCTTGCTCTTTAATTTTTCTTAAAAATATCTGATTTGGTATCGTGCAAATAGAACGCAATTGAACCCTTTAGCCTGAGCGGCTTACTCTGTACGCGTGCCGCAGTGATAGCCCAACTAACTTTCACTTTGCACCATTTCGAGTTTTCGCTGCCTGTTGTCGATAGACGTCTCCTCACTAGTGGCAAAGCCCTCAGTATACACAACTGGGCTCAGTAGATGTTTCTTCTGTTCGCTTTTATTTTTGAGGCATCGTCCACCGCCATTCGGCTTACGTCACCTTAGTAACTAGCCATCACTTGTTCATCTTCCGGAATCCCACCGTATTCATCGCGCTTGTGCAATAGTGTCTGTCACACACTGTTTAGCTTCCCGGCGCACACTCAGTTGCATTGCCAACAAAGCTTCGATGATGGTGGATTCTGGTGCTTTTTGACACACTCATTACAGTTCGTTTCCGCTTCGTTCGGCTATTGAGGTTTTGCCTTCTTAGCACCGGACTGCACCGGTCATCAATTCTGACAGTTTGTTTGATTTCCCAGCCAACATTTATACAGCAGCCGCAGTCCGTCCCATATCCAACATGTTAAGTAACTGGTGCGAACTTCGCTTGAAGGCTGTGCTTCACTGGATTTCCCCCCTTCTCCGAGTCACTACCTGCTTCCAGGCGGAACTTTGCCTCACAGGCCTCTATGAGTACCTGACATTGTGAGTAGTAGGGTCAGGTCATCACACATCGGTTTCCTGCTACCATTCTCAGCCCAGTCTAGCCGTGGCAGTATGGACCATGACCAATTACAATGGATTCCTAATCACCACTGTTTTTCGTCCCTTTGGCTCTGTTTTCCGTGTGCGTTATCTCTGCGTATTATTCGTTGCTAGACTTTACTCTCCTAGTTCAACCAACCAGTTGGTGATTGCTTACCGCGCAGACCGCTATTTTTGCCAATCCTTATTTCGGCTCCACATCACTTACTCCTCAGTAACATCAGTAACTTTGGTCTATCGTTGTTCCGTTGGCCTCATATAGGATAACTATCGATGTAGATTGGAGACTAGATTCTGTAAGCACAACAATTTTCTAAGCGCTCACGGATTCGTGTCTTGTGCTACCCACTTGACTGGTCTGTGAGTATTTGCAGTGCTTCGTCATTTCCTCAGTCGGTATTTCATATTGTGTACACCACTGAACACTCAGGACTTGGATACGCTTATTACTTCTAACTCAGTGTTTTTCGTTTGATCCGTTGATACAAAAATTCGATTGGCATCACTGCACTTGTGCCGTTTGCTGCTTCTCATTTCAGGTGAAAGCAGTGGATGCGGATGACGGAGAAAATGGAAGGCTCCTCTATCGACTGTCCACTTTGAACATCACACCCCTGTTTTCACACATTCACCAATCCGCCTCTATCAAACGAATGTTACTGACCACTTCGGAAGCACAATCTTACTTCAGTATAGCTGCAGACTCAGGAGAGATTGCTCTGTTGTTCGAACCAGATCGTGAATCTTTGGCTGAATTGTGGCTAGCTGCTACAGTTTTCGACCATGGGACACCGCATGCGTTCACTGCCGACACGCTGATCCGCATCCGTGTGCTTGACGTTAACGACTGTCCCCCGGTGTTCGATAGACCCAGTTACGAATTCACCATACGGGTATGTTTATCGGAGTCGGCCTTCTCATCCCATGTTACTTCCTCTCCATATATTTTCCGAGTCCTCCGCTTGTCACATCACATAGTGCTCGTTTTTTCCCAAGAGCCACACGTTTTGCTCTCGGTGAGCACCTTGTCTTTGACTCGTTCCCTTCTGTACAGTTGCCTTCTCCGATTCCCGAACACAGTTAGCAATTTTTCATGAATTATTGTGAGAATCAGAGCTTTCTTTTTTATTTTTCTTTCAGGTTGATCGCACAGGAACCGTCAGCGAGTGCTTCGAAGTGCAGGTAATGCAACTCTTATAGCTCAGACTATATCCTTCATTTATGTCCACACTTCTGCTTTGCCTCGATTTTTGTCAGGTCGTTTCCTCATATGTTACCCACATTCATCACAGTAAATCTCTCGGTCGCACTTAGAGATTCTATCACGATTCCCCCACCAGTGCTTAAATGGTATTCCGCACTTCTCCAGCCCTACTAGATCATGAAATTGTGGCCCCTCGTATCCACGATGTGGACGAAGCCAGTCCAAGACTGATCATGTCCCGGCTAAGTAGACTGGAAGGTTTGAAGATCCATGTTCCTCCAGACCTGGACCCACTAGAGAGGGAGCGGCTCAAATCTGCCATCATTGAGCTGAAAATACGTACTGGTGAAGGGGAAACAAATCTTCGTATCGTAAATTTTCGGGTGGTTTCCAACAATCTGCGAAACAGCATCAACAGGCTGCTCACACTTCAAGCACACCCGGCAGATCCTGCTGCGGCCTGCGAGTAGCCTTCACAAGCGCTTGCACTGTTATGAACAAGCGCGATGAGTTTTGTTGTTTCGTTGCGTCTGAGCGGCCAGACGTAGTGGGACTCGCAGAGACATGGTTGCATTCAGAGTTATACACCCAAGAACTTGAACTCAACGGTTACTCGTGCTTCCGATGCAATAGACTAAAGAATGCCCACGTTGGTGTCTTACTTTACATCCGGTCTTTCCTGCGTGGGAGACTTGTGAGCACCTACCGAAGTGATGATGGCTTGTGTGAGCTACTGTGGTGCTCCATCCGCCTCAGGCGCGGAGAACTGCTTGTGGGCGCAGTTTCTCGCAGCCCCCTGAGTCGTTGTTTGGATTGGCTGCCCCATCTTTGAACCCACATGAGTCGTCCACACTTTCTACTTATGGGCGATTTTAACTGTCTTCGAATACGATGGCCTGATGTGCATTTGATGCCTGGACATAGTGAGGTTGAAGCAAAGTTCGTGGATTTGGTAGTTGAAACTGGTGCATCGCAACACATATGCCAGCCAACATGCATAACAACACGTTCAACCCCGTCCTGTCTCGACCTGATGTTAACGAGCTACGAACAACGAGTGCGTGACGTTAGGATCCTGGAGCCCCTGGCTACAAACGACCATTCAGTGCTCATAGCTGATATGGAATTATCTTTGCCGTATTCACGTCCGCTGGAACCAGTTCCCAACTACTGGAAAGCGGACTTCGATGGTCTAGCTCGAACTGCGAACCAACTGGATTGGTCTCTGTCACAAGCTGCATCTGTGGAAGACTGTTGGATATTTATAAAAGAGAGATTGACATCATTGTGTTCCCAATTTGTGCCATTGAAATATCGGAAGGTTGGACCGATTAAGCCTCATTGGCTTGACAAGGAGTATGGAAATCTGGCTCGGAGGCGGCGCAGACTGTGGAACAAATTCCACCTCTCTGGCTCTGCCAATGATTACGAAGGGTATAAAAGTCAGCGGAATCTTTGCAACAGTGCAAAGAGCAATAAGCGTCGACATTTCGAAGAGCAGCTCACAATAGCCGCGAAGACAGCCCCAAAGAGAACCATTGCTTACGTGAAGCGACGCCTGAAGCCGGCAGGTGACGTGCCAGTGCTGGATGGCCCGGATGGACAGCCCATAACCTCCAGCACCGAGCGTGCGTCTGCGTTGGCGGCGCACTTCGCTTCTGTATTTGCGAATGACCAGGTATCTGTTTCGAGTTCGGCGTGTGCCACTTTTACCGAACTCGACAGTCTGGATTGCGGTGTTGAAGAGGTATATCAACTACTCGCCAACGTTGACGGCACCAAACCTGCCGGACCTGATGGGCTTCACCCACTGGTTCTCAAGTCACTTTCGACCATCATCACCTGTCGTGACTGACCTTTTCAACAGGTCGCTGTCCGAAGGTTCGTTGCTGGTTAACTGGAAATGTTCGGTGGTGCAGTCTATTTCGAAAGATGGCGACCCTAGCAAAGTAGACAATTACAGGCCAATTTATCTGACACCTATTTTGGCAAAGGTTGCTGAGAAAATCGTGAAGAAGAGATTGCTGCAGCTGCTGCAGTCAAAAGAAGTGCTGACGCCCGCACAGCACGGTTTTATGCGAGGCCGCTCATGCATTACAAACCTGCTTGTGACGAGGCATGAGTGGTTGAAGGCAATAAGCAAGGGACAGTCTGTCGACGTGATATTCATCGATTTCAGTAACGCGTTCGACAAGGTCAGCCATGAGGTTCTCCTTCACAAACTCAGGATGTGTGGTATCGGTGGATCCGCGACTTTTGTTTTAAGAAAGTGGAGGGTACAGGTCGACGACCATTTAACTGACTGGTAGCCCTCTACAAGTGGCGTGTCTCAAGTCACTGTGCTTGGGTCCACTCTGTTCCTGATCCACATAAACGATCTACCTCAACTTCTCCGGTGGCCGTGTGCCTTGTTTGCGGGTGACATGAAGATTTAGAGAGAAATCGACTCTCCCGACGACTGTGGCCTACTTCAGCAAGACCTCAACCGCCTATCCACATGGTCTGCAGCAATTCGTCTTCCGGTCAACCCAGCCAAGTCTATATTTATGAGCCCAGGGAAGGGTGCTGGTGACAGAAGCTACACCCTTGACGGCCAACTGCTATATCCCACACCCTCCGTGAAAGACCTAGGTATACTGTTGCGCTGCGATTTGAAGTCCGTGGACAACACGAACAGGCTATATCGTAACGGACTGCGCATGCTTTGGGCGCTTAAACGTAGCTTCGGCACATTGTCTGACAAGGTTGCCACTTGCCTCTTCTCTTCCATCATTAGAGCAATGCTAGAGTGGGGTTCACCCACCTACTTTCCGATTACCCAAGGCGAGGCACAAAAGATCGAACAGGTTCAACACGTTGCTACCAGGCTTTTCCCGAGTTTACGTGGCTTGAGGTATGAAGACCGGGGCGAGATACTAGGACTCTACACCTCGTCCTACCATCGGTGCGAGTCGACCTCATTAAGACCTACCATATTCCGCATCTCGGTGACTTCCCCATGTTGAGGCCAATGCTGCACTTACGAGGGCCATGCAGCACACGCGGACACAGATACAAACTTGTCGTGCCGGGTGTGAAATGTGTTCTCCACCCACTGTGCTTCGAACGGAGAGTGGTAAATATTTGGAACAGTTTCCCTGAACATGTGATGGAGGCAACATCTGTGCAGCAGTTCAAAAGGTTGTCAGATTTATATCTTACCACTATTCGATTTAGAGAAGGATTGCACACTTACGATGACATGTCACATCTGTGAGTCCTGCAATACCGTGAGTCAGATATTTTAACTGTTACATGAGAACAATAACGATTTTCAAGGCTGACAATTTTTATAAGGTTTTTCACCATATTTCGTAAGAGAGTACAGAATTTATTTCTAATTGCTCTATTATACAGTATTCAGTACACACTTTGCTCTAGAAAAACTGTAGGCTCTTTGTGCTGTTTGTTCCCATCTCAATGAGGCTTCACTTTACGATGGTGCGATGGTTTACATGGCTCAGTGATTTATGCAGCTGTGCTTAGTGCTACTTCATGCACCTTCAGAGCCACTCCTACCAGATTCATCAACGGTTAGAGGCCAGACAAACTCAGCCTCCTGGCCATCCAGCTTGGGGGTTGCAGCTAGGGTGGCTACTTATTCCTTAAAACTGGCTCCTTGTAGTCCACTGCAAAACCCGTTGCCTTGCCATCAGGTTTTTTGAACCAAGCGCTTTATTTGAGAACCCAAATTGTTCTCCTTCCTAGGTCTGGGAAACCTGCCGACGCAATACTATGAACCTTTCCTTAAACAATTTCTTGATGTTCTGGCCGTCGAAGAGAACAATAAACGGCGCCTTATCTGCTGCATTGAGCAGGGTGAAAAGGAGTTTGAATGCGTTTGTTCAAGCTTACCGATCTTCTTATTTCTCCATCCATCATCCATATCGTCCCCATTCAACTTCACTTTTACCCCCTTTGTTTTTAAGTCCCAAGTATTTTTTCTTCCCCCACCTCGCTCTGACAAGCGTTTATCTTCTATACCATTTCCCGGCCAAGTTGTCCACTTGGGCAACAGAAATAATCTGAGGGGCATTCAAATTGAGTCTACTCATTTTTCAGTGGTCAGGCCAGGTGTCAACTCGTCCTATTGCTCTATCATCGCCTAATACTAAGTACGTCCATTCGGCAGTGCATGTGCTCCCCGGTTGCCAACTGGAATACGCATGCGTTGGTGCAACAACACTGTTCACGACCAACTGGACGAGGCAAGTCACGGACTTTGGTATCCGATGGCAACAACCGGCGTTATGCACAGGAGACACTGATAAGTGTCGTGAAATCCTGTGCTATGTTGCAAGGTTAGTGCAAGACTGACGTAACACGGAAACAGCAAATTCCACCTCCTTGCTACTTGGAGAGGTCTGTGTTTTTGGATGCGTCCTCTTGTTACAACGCGATGACACAGTATCATGATCCCCAATAGCAAGGATGAGGATTTTGCTGTTTCCGTGTTACGTCAGTCTTGCACTAGCCTTGCAACATAGCACAGGATTTCACGACACTTATCAGTGTCTCCTGTGCATAACGCCGGTTGTTGCCATCGGATACCAAAGTCCGTGACTTGCCTCGTCCAGTTGGTCGTGAACAGTGTTGTTGCACCAACGCATGCGTATTCCAGTTGGCGACCGGGGAGCACATGCACTGCCGAATGGACGTACTTAGTATTAGGCGATAATAGAGCAATAGGACGAGTTGACACCTGGCCTGACCACTGAAAAATGAGTAGACTCATTTTGAATGCCCCTCAGATTATTTCTGTTGCCCAAGTGGACAACTTGCCCGGGAAATGGTATAGTTTCAATTCACGTGCAGATGCAGAACGTCACTCATGCTTTATTGACATAGCCATGTCCAACCAAACGGACATGCCCGATTCATCGGCTTCTGTTTGGAGCTCTGCATCCTCGACGTACGCACATTTTTACAGATAGGTTTA